TTTGTTTCCTCTTTCTAGCAGTTCTAATTAGTTCTAATTCTTACTTACAACATCAATAATGTGAAAATATGTTTAATAAGAATGAATATGCATAGCCTATATTAGATTGTGAGCCATCTTGGGAAGGGAGGTAGGGAGGGAGGGGAGAAAAATTTAAAACTCAAAAGCTTATGGACGTGACTGTTGATAAGTTAAAATAAATTAATTTAAAAAAAAGAATACAGAGAAAGAGCAGTCAGAAAGGCACTGAGGGGAGTAGGATCATAAAAACTTGGAGAAAAAGAGTATCAAGTAGAAGAGGGTGATCAAAAGTGTCAAAGGCTGCAGAGAGGTCAAGAAGGATAAGGATTGAGAAAAGACCATTAAATCTGGCAAGTAAGAGATCATTGGTAGGCAACTTTGGAGATGGTAGTTTCAGTTGAATGAGATTAGAAGCAAACTTGGAGTTAAGATAATGAGGAAAGGAAGCACAGGCAATGCTTGCATAAGGACATACGGAATTTAGTCCCAAAAAGCAAGATATGAAGGAGTATCAACGAGGATGGATCAAATGAGGTTTTCTTGAGGATAAGGGAGGACATGGGCAGTATAGAGCAGCAGCCAGTAAAAGAGAGCACTTGAAAATTAGTGAGAGAGTAGGGATGATAGAGGGGGAAATCTATTGGAAAAGATGGGAAGGAATAAGATCATTTGTGCAGATAGAGGGTGATGCCTAAGCAAGAAGGGCCACTTCTTCACATGAGATGGCCTGGGTGATATGAGATGAGGAGGAAAGAGGGAGCATTTGGCCAATGGCCTCAATTTTTTCAGTGAAATAGGAGGCAAGGTTCTCAGCTGAAAGGGTCAGGAGAGGTTGAGTCAATTAAGAAGGTGTAAAAGGACTGCTGCACTGAGGGCTGCCCAATTGAGATTATATAACAAATTTATAGTGAACCTAATTAGCACACTTGTGATTGTCAGGAGCTTTTGTTCAGGAGTACCAGAATATCAGAGACAGCAGCAAATGGTGGGAATAATGCAAGGCTGAGAGAGTAGGGCAAAATGGGAGATAGGATAAGAGGAGAGAAGGGTCTTGAGTGAAAAGGACAATGAAAAGTTGAACTGGTTCACCAAAGGGTCAAGATGGAGAAGAGATGAGCATGTAGCCAATGTGGGGGTAGAGTGTAGGGCAGGAGGTCAGGGGGAGGACAAAGAAACGAGTTTGGAATTGAAAGGCAGAGGAGTGGTGAAATCGCTAGAGACTGTGACCAGATAAGGGAATTACAGAGGTCATGAAGAAGACAGCGAAACATTTGTAGGTGATGGCAAGTTCAAGGGTATCACCTTGCCAGCAGCTAGGGGAAAACAGCGTTTGAGTAGTAGTTTCTAGGAAATGAGTAAATTCAGAAACTAGATTAGGGTGTTTGAAAGACTATCAATATGTAGACTGGGGCCCTCTAGAATAGACAAGAGTTGGGGTGAAGAGCTAAACACAGAACCCATTAAGGAAAGGAGAAGTGTCCTGGAGGTTGGCAAATGATACCTACCAGAATCTTGCTCGAGTGGTAGAAAGGAATTGAGTGTACCTCAAAGGAGGAGAACATGGAAATAAGTGGCAATGGTAAGCAAGGAGCATTTCAATTCCCTCACCTCAACTGGTGATTTGGGGTAGGAGTGAAAGCTGCTAGAAAGGGTGATCAGGAAGGCTGTGTCATCAAGAAAGAGACAGGTTTCAGTAAAAGCCAGGAAACGGCAGAAGTAGGAAAGGAAAAAATTTAAGATGAAATCAAGATATTGACCAGAGAAAGCTCTTTCATTCCTAGAGAGAAGAAGTCAAGAAAGAAATCCAGTAGTTCAAGTAGACTGAGTATTATTCTGGAATGCTGGTCCCATAACTGTATTTTAATATGTTGTGACCCTAGTTTGAAATTCCTATAAATGTTACCTCAAATTGTCTTGGAGGGAGAAGAGAAGTTCAACAGCATGAAGGTATTATGTCAGTTTGGACATTCCTCTCTGCACTAGATGACATTTTGAATGTTAAATCAATAAAAACAGATTCTTAGCGGCAGCTAGATGGTGAAGTAGATAGAGCTCTGGCCTTGGAGTCAGGAGGCCCTAGACACTTGACACTTACTAGCTGTATGAGCCTAGGCAAGTCATTTAACCCCAACTGCCTCACCAAAAAAAAAAAAATTATAATTAATTAATAAATTAAAACTGACTCGTGCAGATCTGTGCCTAAAACAGGGTACAGTATTAGTATCTTTTCTTCCACAACTATTCCTAACAAGGGTACTACCATCCTAATCACTCAGGTTCCCAACCATGTAGTTATCCTTAACTTTTCATTCTTCCTCACCAGATATGAAATCAATTGCTAGGTCTAGTCAATTTCATCTCCACTATCTGTACCCTTCTCTCCATGAGGTCATCACACTGGTTCAAGCCTTGTCACCTCTCTCTGACCTGCACTATTTTAAGAGCTTCCTAATTGGTCCCCTTGCCACCAATTTTCCCCCCTCTATAAGCCATCTTCCAAACAATTGTTAAAATGGTATTCCTAAAAGGTCAAGTCTTCCCCCTGACCCAAATGCTCAAGAAGCTTAACTGACTCTAAAATAAAATGCTGGCTCCCCTGTCTACCCTTCCAGAGTTACTACATATTACTTACCTTTGAACCTTCTTGGGTCCAGCTAAACTAGCCTCTCCATATTGTCCCTCATAAGTAACATTCCACTTTCTGCTTCTTTGCCTTTGCAAAAGCAACCTCCCATGCCTGGAATGCACTCTCTAGTACCTTCAGCCTCTTAGAACCCCCAGTTCAAGAGCCATTTCCTGCAACCTCCATCTCCTTTCCTGTTCCCCCATTGCTGGTACCTCCTCTCCCACCCCCCTGCAATCACCCTGTATTTACTTCATACAAATTTTGTTTCTACACACACACACACACACACACACACACACACACACACACACAC